AGGATTATGGGGATGTGAAAGTAGAGAATGTAAGGTTGGTTAATAAATCTTGACAAAACGTACTTCAATGAGTTGTACCGGGGTCCCAAGACAGCCCCTTCCCCGAGTTACCCTGGGTCTAGCTCGGTTGAGGGAGGCAACGGGGGGGGGGGGGGGGGGGGGGGGGGGGGGGAGACAACTCGTTCTGGCTGGTACGGTAACCCTTGGAGACGAGGCAACTGTTTCTTTTCCGTATGTCTTCACTATATAGCCCTTTAGAAGGCAGACCGGTAAAAGACCCACTGAAGACGCTGGTGACGACCATCTTCGGTGCCCGTGCTAACACTACAAGGGCCACAGCACTGTATTGGTGAAAGTTTTTGTGATGTCTCTGCCCTCAAGGGAACAAGCAAATCAAATCAAATCAAATTATCTAGCTAGTTCATTTCTGACTTCATTCATAAATTCTTCCCAGCTTCTCCAGTTACTTTCAATAATCATGGCAGCCATGTCACGTGGGTGGGTCGGTTCCAACTCCATCCGTGATGTCACAAAAGCCCTTAGGTAGTCATCTCTACAAGGCACGTTTTTCGGGATGTTTTCGTCGTTTTGGTCCGCATTATTCTCGTAGATGTGATAGATAGGCGTTGGGAATGGAAATTGCAATGTTGATACAACATAGTTACTCAATATTCTACAGAGCCTACCGTTTCCATCAGAAAATGGATGCAAGTGAAGGAACTCCACTACCAGCCAAGCAGCGGTGTTGAAAATGCTCTTAAACTTATCTTCTGCGTCACTCTCAGCAAGAGACGCCGTTATGAGTGAATTATATCGGTCCACAAATACTAGGACGGCGTTTTCCATGTTTTCTGGGTTTTGATATTGATAGGTTTTCCCAGTGTACGTCATTACTTTCATTTTGTCGCTGTATTGACCCGGTTTCGTGCGATTCGGCTTTGTAACGCCCTTCATGAGTATCTTGTTCGCTTCTCGCAGTAGTGACTCTTCCAAAAGACCAGAACAAGATTCTTGGAAATCCAGCATCCTGTTGTCACTTTCGTTTTCTTCGTCCACTTCCGTCATCCCAAGCAACGAAATAGCATCTCCAAAATTTTGCATTTCCTGTTGCTTTCGAGTAATTTCCTCAGTAGAATCGTCTCTAAGGGGATCCGTATTGATTTCGTAGTATTTCCTCATCAATCTTTCCTTAATTTCTCTTTTTTTCGCGTCATCGAGACGAAGCTCAAACTCATTCAGCCATCGCGTTTGATTTTGGATTATTTCTTGAATCATTCTGCTTGTAGAGGCCGTGTCTTCATTCCTCCAACTTGGATGCTCCGTTGGCTCAAATTTTATCAGATCAGCAACGATAGATCTTTTGAAAAGCTCTCGATATGCCATTCTTTTTTATTTATTGACGAAAAATAAATAAACCGGAAGCAGCCAGATGTGTGTTTTGAAGAAAATACAGTCCGAACTGCGCGAGACTTGGGTCCAAGTTGCCCAGTCTTACTCGGCCTCACTATCCAAAATGGCGGACAAACTTATCGCGTGCACTTAACTAAAGATATTTGAAGATTTATGGAGGAAAAAACATTTAGCGTATTTCTACATCATGTCTATGGAAGGGGATATAACATTCAGGTATATATAATCACTGAGAACGTATTATATGGATTGTTCGATAGTTATTGATAGTTATTCGATAGGAATTGATGTCAGAAACAAGAAGTACTGCAAGTTAAGAACACTTGTAGTTTCTTTACTAAGTTTATTAGCAACTGTTTAGACTATCCAAAAGTCAGCAGACGAAAGGATGTGATATGAACTAGCAGGCCGTGGTAAAAGGAGTGGGTAATGAAGAAAAGAGGAAGACTTTCTCTGAGTGTTTGAATGGAACTATTTTTTAATCGACTCTCCCATGATTTAGTATTCTTCAGGTGCAAAGAAATTTTGCGGTACAATCACATGACTTAAAATCCCTTAAGAAATAAATAACATTGAAACAGCCGCCATGTTGGCTGATCTAACAAGAGAAGCTAATAAGGAATACTTTGTTATTGTTAACAATCATGTACCCAATGGTGGATCAGGACTTTTTGATGCAGGGGGGATAGGGAGGGGGGGATCCAAAACCTGCTATTAATATGTGACGTCATTTTTGATGCCATACTAATTAATATATACATACACCATATAGACTTTTCAATTTGTGTTGCTATTGGTATACATTTGACTTTTGATTTATAGACCTGCATATGCCAGTCCTGTCTTTCAGTTTAACGGGATATTTACAGTATTAAGATTCTTTGTAATGTATCATACAGTTGAGAAAGGTGGGGGTCAGGACCCCTCCCCTGGATCCGCCCTTGTGCAACCTGAGAATAAGAGTTATTTTGTAAGACACAATGTCATGCTTAACCATCTTTTACAGCCCTGAAGAACTTCAGAAACACAGAAAGCAAACACAGCACCTTCCACAGGTTAAAGGACCAAAAGAATTTGCACCAAATAACAGCACAGAACAATGTCAACAGATAAAGTCTATGATAACTGAACATGTTGATGTTCTTAGAGAAGAGAGGATTGTTAGAAAGTAAGTATTCTATTCTATTCCATTCTATTCTATTTCATTCTGTTCTGTTCTGTCTGTTCTGTTCTGTTCTGTTCTGTTCTGTTCTGTTCTGTTCTGTTCTGTTCTGTTCTGTTCTGTTCTGTTCTGTTCTGTTCTGTTCTNTTCTGTTCTGTTCTGTTCTGTTCTGTTCTGTTCTGTTCTGTTCTGTTCTGTTCTGTTCTTTGATCTTAAAGTGACTCTAACCATGTTTTTATAGGGGAAATATCTCTATTGGCACATGGGATCCTGAAAATGCAATTGTAGAAGTCACAAAACAAAAGGTATGTTGACCAGTAAAAAGTTTTACTCTAGGTAAGGAAGTATTATTATTCCCTATTATTAACTAAAATAAGTTATCTAAGTAAGCCCCACAATTTTCTCATTGTCAAATAACTTTTATGTGTTTAACAGTGATGTCACTCAAACCATGAGCACTTTGATTTTTTTTGTCACTTTTTTATTATACATGTTGTAATTAAATCTTCCATTGAGCCAATTGATTGGAAATAAGATTTATTATGATCACTTGGTGTATTTGAACTGTCATTCATTTATGCTTTATATTAGAGGGTTTGAAACATTAGGAAGTTCAGGCGATTACAAGGGAATGCACCCCCTTTCCACTTCACCTCTAGAATTTTTGAAAATTGAGGCTCTCGGAAATGCAATTTCCAGTGTTCCTAGGGGCAATAACAAAATATTTATTGCATTATAAACTCTTGTCAAAGTGTTGTGTAACTCATAACAGAAAATCAGTCTTGTCTAAAAGAACCCTTCTCTCCAACTCCGGGGTCACTGCTATTGGGATAGTGATCTCAACTTATGACTGAGGATCAGAGCAGACCATCTGGCACCCAGGATATAAAACCCCTTTATAGTAGAAAAACATTAATATACAAAAGCTAGACCAGCAGCCCAAATGGTCTACGAGTCAATAGCCTATTAACTTGTAGACTGTGAAGTGGTGAGAAGTCTATTATTGTTTTCGTCTCAATCCTCTAATAAGTAAAAAAATGGATTTAAAAATTGCAGTAGGTTAAAAAAGACAGTTATTTGCAATTTTTTTGGTTGTCAAAACCAGCACTTTTTGCTACTAATGGTCTATCATTAATAGACCATTAGTAGCTCAGCCAATCAGAGTGCAGGATTTGATAGACCATTAGTAGGTTTATATACTCTTGAACTTATATGTTTTAATATGCTATTTAGGGAAGTTACTGGAATTATTTTGGAAGAAATGTGAAAGGGGAGATGATTTTAAATGCAGAAGAAGCTCTTTTCCTGCTGGAACAGGTGAAAATTCCACTTGAATACATTATATGATAATGATATCCCAATATCAATCAATCTTTCAGTCAATCCCTGCAACAATTCAATCCCATCCTATCTTATTATCTATGCCTCTATTTATTTATCCATCATCAATCTATCCTGATTTCCTTCCTTCTTTCCATCCATCCATCCATCCCTCCCTACCTTCTTCCCTCCCTCCCTCCCTCCCTACCTTCCTCCCTNTCCCTCCCTCCGTCCCTCCCTCCCTCCATCCATCCATCTATCCATCCATCCATCGATTCTCATCTCATCTCATTCATCCATTCACATTTCAACCAGCCCATTCATCGACCTATCTGCCCATCATCAATCAATCCAATACTCTACCCATCTTCCATACACTTTTCCAATCCCAAGCTATCTCATCCCATTCATGCATCCATTCATTTATTTATCCATCTTTTGTCCCTTTTATCCTATTTATCCATCCCATCCTATCCAATCCCATCCTATTCTCTACTTTCACATCCCCATAATACTTTGCGTCTTCGTGGGGTAACCAGAGGGTAAAAACCCACTTATTTTGCTGAAGGCTGATCAGACAATGTTGACAATACCTTGTTTGGTATCCAAAAATAAAATGAAGAAGTAAAAAACAGAAAAAGATAGAAGCTTGAAGATGTTTAAGGTAAATTTTAAACCTGTTTTCATAAGTCAATACATTTTCTGTAAGACCAAAACTCTTGATGATCTGTACAAACAAAAAGAACTTGGAATAAACTGATAATCAGTATTGTACAGATAAAAGCTGGTATAGTATGAATTCAATTAAGAAACCTTTCAATTTGGGACAGTTTTTTGATTGGTTACCCCCCAAAAATGCAAGGCATTATGGGAAAGTAGAGAATCTAAAAAAATGAATTACCACAGGAAACCCAAACAATACACAATTTTTAGTAGATCAATAACTAATGCTAGTATATTTCAGGGATCATTAGAATTGTATTATGGAGGGCTGCCAATATCATTGCAACAGGTAATATCAGCTTATCAACCATGAATTAATTGACTTGCATAAAGTATCAATAAAATATCATACTCATTCTGAAAGACAGTTCTGTTTCGATATTTCAGGCTTTTTCAATGTTGCAGCCACATGCATTTGATCATGACCATTATTTGGTGAGTAAAGTTTGTTATAACAACACTTAGTTAGGAAATTCTTAGGAGGTGCTAAAATTAAACAGCTTATYGACCGAGAAAAATGCTGAAATTCAAGAATCAGCAAAGGATAATCAATTTAAAGATAATTAATTTTAAGATCATTCAATGAATCAAAATATTCTTTACAAGTATCTATCAATTTCAAATTGTACGTCATTAAGAAGATTGTGCAATTTTTTGTTGATAATAAAATTGAGCAACTTAATTTAATTGGGACTCTACAGAGTAAAATTAATGATTTAATAAATATTGTACTCCTCTTGTCCAATCAGAATCAAGTAAATTTGTTGAGGCTGTGTATTATTATAGGTGTTATAAGTAATAAAAATTACTGTTTTTGCAGGTTTATGCATATTTACTAAGACTGGGCTATATTGTTTTGAGACACCAAAGCAGGTATATTCTATAACAGCTAACATGGTTCTTTGTAGAAGGGCTCTGATGTAGAAGTGTTGATGGTACGGCACATACCATAGTAATATGATATAAACATGTATTCATTGGTAATAGACATTAAGGAAGAAGATTGCAAATCTGATATCTGATATTGATATTTTGCCCATCAACAATTTATTTACCAATTATTGTTTTGTTATCATCTGATTTTACCACAATTGTTAATTTTCTTGCTTTCTGATTGATCTAAAACCGGGATAAATAGAAGGACATACCAATGAGCCAGCATAAGTGCTTCAAACCATTTTTTTCTTTTAAATTTTCCCTTAAAACACGATAAAACACGATCTGCTAGTTTATTAAACAGCTTAAAAAACTCATGATGTATGTTCTCATATTGTACTGAATTCTTTTAGAAATGAACCAAGTTTGATAGAGAAAATCCATGTTAAGATTGATGCAAATGAAGATGAATCTATATCAGATATAAAACGTCCTTCATGGCCATGATTTCTATTGTGTAACTTCCTTCATGAATTATTAATGAGTCTTTTAAAATTATTTATAGGATTAACACAGTTGCCATTACTGGTTTCTGCTACAAAACTTGATGGCTTGACACCAGATTTTAGTGCTTTATTTCTATAATACATAATTATATGGCCTAATTAAATATATATGCCTTCTGGATGAAGAGTGATGGTGATGATGATGATCCTGAATTTCAAAATAATAAACAACTAGTTCTAATCGTTACACAAATGAGAAAATTCTCACTCAGACTTTGTGTTGTAGGTCAGCTTCTGAAGGCGCAAAGGAGCAAAGTCTGGATGATAAGGACATAAAAGATAACAACATTAAAACAGAAGAAGATACAGAGTACACTGAAGTAGCTAATAATACCAAGATCCTACAAGATAGTCCTGTGTCTCATTTATGGATGGATGAAAGTGGTTGTCAACCTTTAGTTAGGCCAAGTGATGCCAAGTCAACTGGTAATAATCAACTAGCATTTTTTCTTGAACATTTGAGCATAAAATGGTAAATCTGCTTTTCTGAGCCTAGGAGGAAATATTTAAAGGAACAAGATTAGTCTTTTATTCTTTTTGTACACAATGGCATTAGAGGCAAGTTTTGTTGGATGTCGAGCAAAAACAGGCTTGTTCTATTACAGCATGACATGCAAAATTATGACCACATTTAATGTTGTATCTATGCAAGGATTCTGTATGTTAAAGTGACACATTTCAATGCGAAGCTGTCTGATTGCATAGAAGTATGCAAATCCATTAAACGTGGTCATACTTTTGCACGTTGCATCATGCATGCACTCTTGATTGGAACCAACAAAATTCTATTCTATTGAGTTAGAGCCCCGTGCCTTTTTGCTTGCGTGTCATTTGGCAGAATGGCTGGAACAGTTAAATAGAAATATGTGTACGTCATAATTTTTCCTAAATATATTTGCTGTTTGTATCTAGCTTCATTATTATCAAAGCTTCAAGTAATCAAGACACACAGGATGACAACTAAGACAACCCATTCAGAGAGGTACAAATAGCTTCAGTAAACCAACTTGGAACACTGTCATGAAATCCCCGGGGTAGAGACCCCAATTAGACAAGGGATGGGATTCTTATTGTACCTTTTAGGGTTCCAGATCTGCAATTTGGCACCTCTTAGGTATTGCAATTTAAAAGGACTACCAGAGAGTAAGCCAGTACCTCTTAGGGTGTGTATCAAAAGATTCCTGAGATTAGATAATGACAGCAATGTAATTCAGGAAATTTATTTTCGTTTATCATCTGACTTCTGTCATGTAGCGCTCATAATAAGATAGTTGGTACCTTTTAGGGGTAATGATTACGTTGAAACACCCACCTTAGAAGTCATTTTCAAAATTTCATTGGACATCTTTGCCCTTTTATATGTTGGAGACACCCACAGGCATGTCATATTAAGGAGCATTCATTTTTTAGGAGGGGGTTGGCCGGAGGAATCCAGAGGATGGCCATATTATAATATAAAACCCCTCTTCAGGGCTGTCAACTCTCCCGGATAAACCGGGAGTCTCCAGATTTTGGGCCGTATCTCCCGGTCTCCAGATTAGAGTCTCAAATCTCCCGGATAATCCCTGAAGCTGACCATTTTTTCTTGTGAGACCCGAGTTTCACAACCATAAAATTCCAATTATCTTATGTTGTTTGTGTTATTTTACATCGCTAACAAAATCAAAACGTTCCTCATGGCTGTTCTTGCAAGCAGGCCATTGTAATGTAAGCGATAATCTGATTGGTCAGAAATAAACCAATCACATCAAATGTTACAAACTGATAGGCGTCTTTTCGTGCGCTTTTTGACGCGCTGTGACACCATGTCCCTTCCCTATCAATTCTCCAGATTTGAATATCTCAGGGGTTGACAGCCCTGCCTCTTGAAGGAGGCTAAAGTTTTGGCTTTTCTTTTCTTGTCAGTCACCCACTTGCTGTAGATTTTGATGTCTATCATCCTGGTGTTCACTACAAGAAGAGTGATCCAGGCGTACCTCCATTCTGTGTGTCAGTATGTAGGTATGTCTAGACTAGTATCTATAAGACAGATAACAAAGCATGGGAAAAGTCAATAACCATCCCACCACCCCACCCCACCCTTCCTGGACCCCAGATAAACTCTYTCGAAATTAGTATTTTTAGATATGATCATATAAAGAGGGGGAGGGATAGGTCAGGGCCCTGCATTAGACTCAGCATCTATAAGACAGATAACAAAGCATGGGAAAAGACCATCACCATCCCACCACCCCACACCACCCTTCCTGAATCCCAGATAAACTCTCTTGAATTTAGTATTTTTAGTTGGGGGTCAGAGAAAGAACAAAATTACAGAGTTTGTATGAAAGAAAATTAGAATTTCTGGTGGTACAGGGGTTTTAAAAAAAGACCTCCGTGTGTGTGGGGGAAAGGGTGTATGCATGGATACGTCTTTGAACTACACATCATTCTCATAAAGAGGGGAAGATGGCAAGGGTAGAACAGGGCCATATATTTATCCCTCTAAATACATATGTAGATTTCTCAATATTGCAAGATCTAGCATGTATGCCCTAGACCTACCCCTATAGGTGATCACTTTGCACTCCCCCCACCCCTCTCATTCAACATTCCTTAAAACATGTCCAAAATAGACCTTTTCACCTCAGGGCATAATATTTTTCCTATTACAGACCACATGTCATAATATTATTTCAGACCATGTGTCTTTCCCTAGAGTACACACCTAATTCAAAAAACGTTGTCATTGCCAAAGGTGATAGGCAATATATAGGTGATAGGCGAAAAGCGATAGGATATATGTCATTGCAAGATCCAAGAATAGCTGGAATGACTTGTGTTTCTTCTTCTTCTTCTCGTCAAGAGTATGGACCTTCGTGCTGAGAATGATTCAATGTTCTTTGTATTCAATGAAACCATTTCCATGTCGCCTATCACCTTTGGCAATGACGTTTTTTGAATTAGGTGTCTATTTTTGTTTACTAGTTGCGCATGGAATGGCTCAAACAATTAATAGATACAACTCAAACAAAGAGTTAAAGGAAAACAAAAAATTACGTACTCTAGGGAATGACATGTGATCTGAAATGAGAAAACATTGTCTAAACTTAAACTTTGCCCATGCATCTTTTTCCAACAGATATTCATACCCAGCCTTGTCTCTGTCTGTTATCAATGATCTAACCTGTGAATCTTACCCATCACCAATAAAGTTTGCTGTGACATGTGATGGGAGTGTATCATTTTATGATATGATTGATGCTGATCTACCAACCTCCATCAACATTGGATAAAAAGGGTTATCTCCGGTGTAATATAATTTACGCTGTTCTTTTGTTATTTCTATTGTGACTCGTTCTATAGATTGTAAAGCTGGTATTGTTTTTTGGTAATATGATGTCAGCTGTGCTGTATCAATTATATTACACAGGATATGAGCCGATGAAAAGCATGGTTATGTATATCTATTGCAACATATAATTTCTGGAAATAATAAAACTTTTCCTCTCTTCACTGTTTTATCCTCCTAATTGAGCTGCACTAGGAGAATGCTGTAAGACGTCTATACCCAGCAGGAATTGTATAAATAAGTGTAAATATTTAATAATCTTTGAAAATTTAATATTTATGTGAATTTAATAAAACCAATGAAAATAAAAGGAAAGAATATATTCTATTTGGGCTTCCTGTGGTTTTCTGCTTGGCCAGCGGTAGTACATCAAAAACTAAAATGGCGGCAAATTATGAGGTACTTTTGATAAATACGACCGGATTTCACCTATTTTACTGACAGATTAAGAGGCTTTTGTACCTGTTTTTATGCTAAAGATATTCATTTACTTCCATTCAATTCAGAAACGAATTCTAGCCGAGAGAAAACGAATTCACACAACAGTCTTTGACGTTGCTTTCTCGCCATGTGGAAACTTCTTTGCGGCTTGTAATAACTTTGGCAGCATCGCTGTGTATAGGTAATGTTGTTTGACTTCTTTGAATTAATACTTCTCTATTTTAGTATGAAAGTGTGTTTAGTAGCCTGTGGACTATCCAAAAGGCTTATTGCTATTGAACTATTCATCGTTTCCCCTGACAGTGGCTTCAAATCTTTTTTTTAAAATATTTTTATATTTTGCATATTTCATTATTACATGTAAACATAAATCATTTTATATACTGAATTCATAACACAAAATCTATTATTCTTGAGGTGCAATGCTGTGACTCAAATTTTCTTGAGATATAAAACAGTGAAACAACCGCCATGTTGGTTGATCTCACAAAAGTAGCTAGTAATTAAGGAATACTTTGTTAGCGTCAATCAACATGGCTGCTATGAAGTAACATGCACCACAAGAATTCAAGGTATAAGAGCAAATGAAAACAACAGAATTAGTGTTTATTAGACTATTATCACAATATCTAGAATGCCAGTAAACACATTTACTGTATACTGTATAGGGATAGTGTATGTATGTAGTCACATTCACCAATCTCTGTTATGCCTGAGGTAAAGGTTGATGACCTGGAATGGGGTTAGGGAAATATGTGTCTAGGGTCAAAATGTTACAGCTTTCCCATGGTCATAACATGGATAAGAAATGGTTTTTCCCATATCCATTTAGTTTGTTGTCAGCCCTTGCACAAGATGCCAGTCATCAGAACAGACAACCTATCTTTACTTTTGATGGTAAGCTGCATTAATCAACAGACTTGGTCAATGTGTTGTGAAGCATGGTTTGTAAAAGCAGCAGCAGATTGGATGGTGCATTAAACACCTATCAGTGTCACTTTAATCATTTAGTATGTTTGTGAAGGCTGCAGGGTTAGTGCTTGAAATAGAAAAAATTGTAGCCTGCCATAGAAGGTAAAGGAGCATGGTAAAAGGAGGTCATTCCAGTAAATTTTTCCTCCTGCCATTTTAATATTCATTTGGCAGTGCATCATTATTTTTGCCTGCCAAACCTGACATAATTTAGCCATTGGCAGGCAGCTATTTGGAGCCCTGCAGGGTGGGTTATTGCTCATCGTAAATGCCACATAGACTGGCCACTCACAAGACTAAGCATTACTGCCAGTCAATTGCCGGTCATACAACTAAATTAATTATAGCTTGGTCATACCTCATTTCTGGCTTAACGTTACTGGTCAAAATGACAAGAAAAGCAATAATTCACTTATATGACCAGATATTGCCCAATGACAGGCTGTTATATTAAGCATTCATATCATATTAATAATATTACTGATCTTTGTTATTTATGAACTCATTTTGCTTGTATGATTGTTTCATGTGATATTAGTTGAGGAAGGACCAATATACACACTCTTATCAACTGATACATTTCTAATAAGGTATGTTGTGTCTCACTTCTCTTTGGCATTAACCTGGGTACATCCAAACACGAGACAATGATTGGTTAACTAATTTTTAATTTATTTTATCATTCATTTCTTGCTTAGATTCCTTCATTTATTAGAGCAATGTTTAGCTGCAGAAATATTGTCTTCAAAATTATTGGGATCTCGTTTTTGTTTTTACAAAATGGCTTTTTTACCTGGACATCAAATTATGTTGGAATTGTAGTTTGTTTCAACCCTTTCAATTTCCCCACCCTCCCCTCCCGCTTAAGTGTGGCCCCTTCCACTACCACACCTCACCTCACTCCCACAATAGAAGGAGTCAAATTACTGCTGTAAGTAGGGCAAACAATGATCACAAAATTTGTGGGAAACTTATAAGATGGAGAAAAAAATACTCATGTTTTGAGTTGAAAAATCTCACTGAATAAAGCTACTATTTTTCATGAAACATTGAAGTTTTGTTTGTTATTCCAGTTCATTTCCAAATAACAAGATAGCTGCCAATATTGTGAATCCATCTATATTTGCTGTACTTGGCCTTGATCATGACTACAAGATATTTCATTATTTTTAGAATTTTTGAGTTAAAATCGTTTTTCTTTATTAGTGGAGGATCGTCAGAGATCAGTGGATGGAGATGGGATGATATTCTTGAAATGGTAAGGCAGAAAAATCTGAGTTTCAAGCTAACATCTAGTAAACAGCAATACATTCATAACCAATCAAAAAACTAACTCACAGGTTGAACCCTTTAATGGCGTAACCAGCGATCTTGCAGTGGGGGTGCACAGGCAATGATTTGCAGATCCAAAAAAAAAAAGCAGAACCAAAAATAAAGCAGTCAACCAAAAAAATAAAAAAGAAAAGAAAAGGAAAACAAAGAAAAGACAACATTTCCATGCAATTTTAAAGCAAATGGAGATAGATGAGCAGACCTTGAGCTTTTATGGGGGATGCACGTGCACCCTGTGCTCCCCCCTGGTTACGGCCCTGCCCATAAACAAACTCTGGGCTGAGTGAAATCAGGACACTACTAACTCTGACACAGTTTGAACCCAAAAAACAAACTCTTGGCTGATCTAAATTTTGCAGAGGGAGGGAAACAGTAAAACCTGATGAAAAACACCCTTTATCAAGGGATCAAGAGACCCACAAACTCCTAGAGAACCTAGTTTAGAGAGGCAAGTTAGGTACTGCTACAGCCTGGACATTGATTCACATTTAAGTAAACTTTCACTCAAGTGTTGTGTACTTAATTTCCTTTCCATGGCTCACTAGTCTACAACTCCATCTTGGAAACTCTCTCCTCCTCTATCAAAGTAAGTGTACAAGAACTTCATAGAATATGGATAGTATTTACTAAGTTTATTGATTTATAAATAATATTATTTGCTTTGAAATTATTGATTAAAGAAAGTAACTTAGTGACTAGTTACAGGGCTAAAAATAGTGACCTGTCGATGGACAATGTCCAGCCAAAGTTGGCACTTCTCCGGCTTAGCTCTTCTTGACCACTTACATTAACTGGTCAAATGTTTATCAGTCTAAAGTAGCTGAGCATCATGTCTAGTTATGTACAGCCAGTATAAGCCAGTTCATAGTTTAAGAATTGTTTTAGTGCGCATGCAATTTTATCCCAAATTTCTCACCTTCTTTTGTTTAATTAAGAACAAAGAAGGTTAAAAAAAAGAACATGAGAAATTCGGGATAAAATTGCAGGCACACTAAAACAATTCTTAAACTATGAACTGGCTTATTGCTGTAAGTCTAGCCCTGAGTTAATCTGTATACTCATCTTGATCAAGGTTAAAGGTTTTAATTGCTATTCGCACCATCTTTTCCCTGACAGCATTAATCCTTTGGGTGTTTCTGAAACAAATGCTTTGGCATATGACAAAGAGGTATGGTATTCTTTTAGTATTAAGAATTCAAAAATATATTCATTATGATTTAAGATAGAAAAGAACATGTTTCTCAATCTACGGTTATGCTAGAAGCATCGCATAACAATGTAAAATATGAGTCAATGTTCATACAGAGGTTGAATTTTTTTTTAACGGTTGGAATTCATACTGGAAGTCAGAATAAGTGGGGCATGTGCATATCTGACGACCTAAAATCTGGTCTTCCAGTTTGTGTGTTACCAGAGCCTTCGATTTTTTGGTAATAAGAGTCTGGGTACGAGAATGGTACGGAACACAGCTGCCTACAGGTGTTTTGTTAAGGAAGCCTTCTATTTTAAAAATTACTGAATGGTCTGTTCTAATTCTGTGTTTTCTTCATTATAGAATAACACACTTTTTTCAGGCTGTGGTGACAATAATGTTTATACCTGGGATTTAGAAATGGGGATTTGTAAGGTATGTCCTACTGATAATAATTCTTATTATAATCTTTGGCTAAAGGAGGATGTTTACCTAGCATGCTTTCCGTGCCTTGACCAACTATATTATCACACTGAAAAGTCATGTGATCTACTCATTTTCACTTTGCTGTCAATGCACAAACAGATAGTCTTTAAGTGCCTACCCTTTTGACAATATTTTCAGTATGGACTTGACATGGGGTAAGCTGTTGAATGACCTGAAATGACCTTTCATAGTGAAGTTATAAAAGTTTTTCTATGCCATATACTAATGACTGTGATGTATGAGGAAGCATTTATGCTTACTTGTTGTTCCTTGTAATTTGAAACGTTGGCTGCTATTTGAAAACTAACTTGCAATAATTTCTATAAGACCAATGGCTAAATGACATATTTATGTGATGTTGTAATGCCATTGGTTGGCTGTGAGTGACAAGCTACAGGACTAGACATAAAATCTTTTTTACTTTAACAGAACACATTCAAAGGACATGAAGATTATATTCATTGTCTTGCTCTACGTGATACAACTAATGAATGTATCAGTGGATCAGAAGATGGCTCTGTCAGATTCTGGGGTAAGTATGTAGAGGTTATATATACCCTTTCCGAGGTGGATATTAGATTCTGGGGTAAGTATGTAGAGGTTATATACCCTTATTGAGGTGGATATGAGATTCTGGGATAAGTATGTAGAGGTTATATACCCATATCGAGGTGGATATGAGATTCTGGGGTAATTATGTAGAGGTTATATACCCTTACCGAGGTGGATATGTGATACATCAACATGAGGCAAAGCCAAGAGTTGATAAATCACATATCCACCAAGATATGAAATACATAACTACCTTATATCATCATTGGGGAAGTTTCTTAAAACAGGGTTAATAACTAGATATCAACCTTATCAGGATTTGTGGGGTATATTGATAATTAGATACCAACCTGGACATTTGTTTCTTCTATTGAATTGGGTGAATATGAAGAAAATAGTACTACTTTGAAAAAACCAAAATGGCTCTCTGGGGCCAAATTGGTCCTGGAATTTCCAATTTCTTCCATGGTGGGATATGGATATTTTCTGGAACTATGAAATATTATAATTGACAGAGTTAGTTTCTTTTGTTCACTGGCAATCTTTATCATTTTAGCCCAGGCTAAGGCCAAAATGCCAAAATAGAACAATGCCATTTTGGCCCCACAGAAGCCATTTTGGTATGGGTCTATCAGTACTGTTTTGGCCCACTCAACTAGGCCAAATCAGGGGAAAGTCCATATAAGGGGCTAAAACAGTCCCAAAATCAGAGCTAAAAAAATGGCCCCTACCGGTAGTGCCAAAATAGCCCTACTTTAAGGAGGCCACTAGAGGGTCAAAATTTTGACCCCATTTTTGGGGCCAAAACTGCCCTATCCAATTTACTGTGCATGGGGGGTAGGGTAAAAATATTTCTTCCATAGTGAGGTATGGATCTTTAAATGTGGTAAGGCCAAACAAAAAATAAGTGTGTTTCCTGTTGCATGACTTACCCTTATTTTCTTGCCAATTTTTGCCGAGCCTAATATTTTTTCTTTCCCAAGTGCACCACAGGGTTCCCAGTAAGCTCATTTCCACCATTTCATCAATAAAAAAGTCTGACCTACCAACCCCAATTATTTTTCTCATGCAACAGGAAAAACACTTATTTTTTTGTTTGGCCTAAACTGTCAAAAATCATTTCAATATGCCTTTATTTCAGACTGCAGATTAGGTTCCATGACAAACAAGATAGAACCATACAAAGACAAGGTGTGTGTGTACATTTACATATATGGGATACCTGTGGTAGCCCAGTGAAAACCAAGGGTCAAGTTCAATGTATTCTGCAAAATTACAGTTTGATAGCTTGATTCTCAGATGTGATCATCACTGTCACAAAGTATCGTGGATGGTTATGAGAGCAAGTCAATTTCACACAAAAGGCTTTATTTATTTTAATTTTTGTCAGATATTGCCTCACTCTCATGTCGACCTGCAATACTTTTGACAGCTATCAAACCATCTCCAAATCAATGTACAAATACTGTACCTATTATTTGTCATTCCTTATATCCTGTTATTTGTATCTGATACTGAAAGGACTTACCAAACTCATTCAACCTTTTTCTTGTATATGTATTTTGCATCTCCCAGAATCTCAACAGACCAAAATATGGTAATTGGATAGGATGTGTTGCAGTAGACTCTAATAAAGAATGGATGGTAAGATCTTTGTATTGTATCATTCAAAATAGGGTCATCTATTCTCAACCTAATATATCTTTTCTGATGAGATGTTACTGCATGGCATCTTGTATAAACCAAGTGCAAGGTCCATACTTTAGGTTAGGCCTGGGATGGGTTGGGGCAGGGGGAATACAGCCCCCCTCTCTCCCTTTTCCCATACTCGCATTCCCCCCCCCATTTTTTCTCACACTAGTCTCATCCTTAGCCCCCCTCCCTCTTTAGGGTGGCCCACAGCTCCTGTTTTGGAATGCAAATTGAGCAGTCATAGTCAATGATAATGTATTTTTTTTAAAGGTCTGTGGAGGTGGTCCAAGTCTTTCAGTGTGGCATCTAAGGTCCATGACATGTACTAGTGTTCTAGATACACCTAATTCAGCACAACAGACTGCTTTATTTCATGAAGACACAGTAAGTAACAATGTCCAAGATTAGACTGTATGCAAGGTAGCATGGGCACTGAATTCTTGGGGTGCATGTTACGTCATTGCCGCCATGTTGGTTGACAATTATAACAAAGCATTCCTTATTAGCTTCTCTTATTAGATCAACCAAGATGGCAACTGTTTCATTGTTGTTCATATCTCAAGGGATTTTCAGTCATGTGGTTGCAATCCAACAATTCTGTACCATTTCCATGTAACGTACCTTCACATTATATCTCTCATCTGGGCCCCATATATTAAAAAAAAGAAAAATAACGAAGATCTAAAAAATCTTGGGGGGCTTGACTCTCTCCCCTTTGTACGGACCTGAATTTGCATCTCAAAAATGGTCTTTTCCCCACCCTATCCATCTGATCTTTCAAAGTCTATCCATTGAATATGCATTTTACTTTGTAGGTCATCACAGCAGGTACAGAGGCTTCAGTGTTTCATTGGCAAGTCAACGGAGATCTCAGATCTCAGATCCCCTGTACACCATCTTCCGTTTATGCTCTGAGAGTGAATTCTGCTTCGCCAGAAGGGAAGGTTAGTTTGTATGACTCTTTTCCTTCGCATTAACTAGGATCGTGAGTTCTCTCATTCAATAGAGGGTAAAATCGTCAAGTAGCCACACTCAATTTATGGTTCCAACTCAGACACTATTGCAACAGTTTCTCAGTGGAATGAAAATCTGAAACTTTCGCGAGCTATTTTCAGAACACAGCTAAAAGTTCCAACGTGTAACAGGGCCTTTAGACCAAAACTGAACTTCGTTTCCTTATTTTCTATTTTTTTCCCGTAGATTCTTCTTGTTGGCGGAACGTCATCAAAGATAGACACCTACATCAATTATGGATATAAGGCTTTTTCATTCGATTTTGTCTAATATTTCTGTCATGTATTAGTAGAGTACAAACATTGTAAGTGTGTAACATAAATACCACTAAATACTGCTAAATTATGCTAATCCTATTGTTTTCTATTGTTTAATTAGCACTATTTACTACTAAATAGTGCAAAGTGTTGCCCACTTTTAGTGTTTGTACTCTATTTATCGGAATAAGTAGTAAATATACATTTTTATGTAAAATATTTTTCGTTTTATGATATCGTTATTTCTTATGTTTTTATTTTTTCGTAACGGGATTTTTCACATACGTATCCAAAATAAATTGAAATTTGACGGTACAAACGGTGGTTTCTCTTAAAGACTTTCAAGAAACAAGTCATTATTTCGATTGTTGTATGCTAAAAATACAATAACATTTTATCTAGAAATTTCTAGAAAATACCGATTCCAGAAAGTTCGTTATTCTAGATACTTCCAAAGTAAAAGCTAATTATATGGAAAGTTCTAGAACATATTCTCACGTATTCAAAATAACTCTTGAAAACTTTAGAACTTTCGAAACTTTTTTGAAAGTTGCATTTCAAATATGGAAATCAACTTGTGTAGCCTGTATGAACTTTTCGAAAAAATTCAAGTGGTGTTTTTTATCAAACTTATAGTGTCCACTACTATGGATTATCACTATTTGACAAGCACCATAAGCTCAGTAATGTCACGCAATGTATTTGTGACATTTTGCTTTGCCTGACCTCACGCAATGTCGTAAACACCTTGGTTGATTGAAGACTTTATTTAATGAGGGTAACACGTGTCAGTAATTTTGTTAACTGATGAACTTGTGGCCCTCGAGTTTTTTTTAGCACGGGCACTGAAGATGGTCGTCACCAACGTCTTCAGTAGATCTCTTACGTCCGCTTTATACAGGGTTATTTAATGAAGACAAACGGGTCCTACGGTTTTAAGTCCTTGTTCGAGAAGACTTGAAGGTCTAACCATTTGCAGATATAACCCGGAGATATAAGGCAGCACCTTCTTCTCAGTCATTTTAAGACCCCGAGTGTTGGTCCGGCCGATTCTTGAACCACGAACTGAGCTAACCGGGTGGAGGTTTATGAACCGGGGTTTCGGCAGTCGTACGTGCCAAATGTTAATTTTTTGTTAGATGTAACGACATGCATGACTTATTCGAAGTAAACTGAAASCCTTCAGGAAGTCATACGGAAGACTGATAATATTTTGACATTTCGATGTATTCATAACGTATCAGTCACGCCACTTTATTTCAGCAAAAGCCAAGCAAGCAAAAATTGAAAGCATTGCACACAAATATCAAACGAAACTTTATTCACGTCTATAACCCCTGTTTACAAGCAAGCAAATCTCAACAAACTTTCTTTTCGCTTAATAAAACTAAAAGCTTTTTTTTTGAAACGTAACCTGAGACACGCATCTTCAAAGGCTATTAAATACAATCCACAGATCTGAGATCAATAACATGAACAACTGATTTATTATAAACCCTAATACATGTAATTTTGATATCATGCAATCGTCGTAGCAACTAGAGTGTCTTTTTTTTAATGACTGCTATTAATTAAACGGTGGAACGACAATTCGAGACAGCTAATTTTTCTGTGCGTACACCTGCAAGAACTACTACGACATAGAGACTAACTATCAGCTGAGTATTCAGTACTCTATTAGTACGAAAAAGTTCTACTAGATATGCATAGTTACTGTCAGTAAGTCCTTCTTTAGCACAAAGATACAGGATCAAATTCTTCGTCTGTTGAACCCGCATTCTCAGAGTGGAGAGAGCTTGCCTGTTTTTACTTCTCAGCTCTCATGATTTGGACCTCTCTCTCAGTTGGTTCAGGCAGTTGTTTCCTTGTTGCTTCGATGTGAAGGTGTCCATCCTTGTCCAGATTAGACACGACAGAATCCATGTCTACATCTTTGGGAAGCACGAAGTGGCGATTAATCTTTCTGGAAGCGTAACTGCCCTCTTTTTCTGACTCGTGGCTGGCAGTGATCATCAATTCATTGTTCATAACCTTGACTTTTACTTCTTCAGGAGAAAACTTGCTCACATCCAGGTTGACAGAGAATTTCTTGTCATCCATCTGAGCCACTGGACCGGCTTCAGCTTTCTTTTCCTTTGGCTTTTTGTAGGCCTCGATGTAAAGAACTCCATCAGGAGAAAAACGAGAAGAAACAGATGAAGGATCCACGTCCTCTGGCAGAGGGTAGGCTTGGTGGAGCTCACTGGTCTCGTAGCCAAACTGTCCTTGAGAGCGATGGACTCCATCTACCATCACTTTTCCATCTTCTACTTTTAGTGAGATTTCGTTTGGATCGAAATTCTGCACACCAACAGCAGCAAGGGCCACCTTGTCTTTGTCCTTTCTGTGGTCTGAGTAGTGAGTCCAGCCAAAGAAAGGATCGTCAAATGCTCCAAGTGTCGCTACGAGAAGCTTGTCTGCAAGATCCATTGTAGTATACTGCACTTGTACTTTTACGCTCTCTCTACTGATGAGTTCAGAAAAGTGTTTGTCAGCTGGTGCAGCTCTCTGCTTTATATAGACAGCCTGCAAAATTCTAAAATGTTCTAAATTCGATATATTTTTAGAAACATTACGTAATGTTTCCCCGGAATTTTACTGGTTTTTGGAAACCCTGTTAGACGGACCACTGAAATATCCACGTGCGTGCTCCATAGCACGTTCTACAGTAAAACCCCAAAAATATACGTTTTTACTACATTTTTTGAAGCCCAAAACTCGTTCGTGCCAGTCTTTTGATTAGTATATGTAGCTTACTTTTACCAGTAATTATCGCGATTTATTTTAGAAATCCTAGTAATGAATTTTATGGTATCATTCTGAGATCGATCTGACAGACATCCCAAAAGTTTGACCTATTGTGTTTATGACMGGTTTCTTTTCAATGTAAAAAATTTTAATTCGCTTATTAAATTTATAGTCTCGAAACTTGCGAAACAAATTACAGTGAGGACACTCTAAACACGAATACTTTGTTCTTTTTTACTCCTTTTTTTAACATGCATCCCTTGAGTGAATCATTTAGAAATAAGTTGTCTTTTGATCRCATAGCATATTTGAGTTCAATCCTACTTTTTTAGAGKGTTTGAAGCAGTAAAAAGCTCAGAAAATAAAAATCTGAATAAAGTCAAGTGTTCATGGTTCGAGTGTCTTCACCTATTATCCACAACGCTCTAGAATATTCTAGACAATTTTGAGCAAAATTCAAAATCTGAATGTAAATTTAATTGGACAAAAAGAATTACTGGCGATGATTATGAATTCAAATTGGGGAGCTCGACCACAGAAAAGGGACGAAAATTTGATTTGAAAAAAAAAGCAGTAAAATAATTTTAAAAGGAATTCTAAAGCCGAGGCAGAACTTTCTGGAATATACGAGAAAATTTGCTTGACCTTTCTAGAAATTTCCATTAAAGATAAACGTGACTTCAAATTATCATTTTACAATAAAATACAAATTTCTCGCGTGCTGATTGGTTAAAGCTAACGTCAACGAGTGCGCGCTCTTTCCGTTGGTTGTTTTGATCGCTAAAAATGAGAATTTTTATCGTTTTTGTTATTGTAAAAAAAACTCAAATAGACATCAGTTTTTGATGTGTCTGTCCTCCGTATTGACAACAAATTTCGTCATCACATTGTCAAAGTAGTATGCGGATCCACTCACAGGGAGCCCAATAGCGCAGCGTACTGATTCTAAAAATAGCTTAAAGATTCGGACAAACATTGCATTCTGTTTAACCRCTACGAGRATTATACGAACCGATTTTATTATTTCTACTTAAAGTTACAATAATAACCCATGTAAACTAAGATCAACTGCGATCGGCTGTGAAAATTATCTGCTGAAAGTAACTTGTAAGTTTGTTTGTCCGAATTTCGCCTTTGTCTTCGTTTTTATGACGTTACGACTGCGCTGCGCTATTTAGAATAAAGTGAATGGTGGAAATAAAACCGGAAAAATTAAAGAGTAAAAAAATCAATAAAAAATGCACTAGAACATTTTTTTCGCGCGCGCCTTTGTTTTTTCCTTTATAACTAGACCCTGGTTCCAGGGTAAGCTGGGATACCTGGAGGACCTGGAGGACCTGGTTTCAACATGCATGGAGTATTTAGTTGGTTGAGCTTCCAAATCAAGATAACACGTGAACAGCACCTTTGCCCTGATTSGACAGTTGCTTGTCATGGTGTCGAGGGCGCAATGTTGACGTAATGAATTATTATTATCCGCGTATTTGCAATTTGTTGAACGAAGTTGGAAGGTAGCGCGCGCGCCAAGAAAGCCCCATTTATTTTCACCATTCACTTTAATCTAGATTGGGCTCCCTGTGGTCAATCAAGCCTGAATGTCAACACCGTAGAAAATTCCTGATCTAATAAGGGAACCGTTTATATTTTAGCCCAATTCAAATTTGCGTGACGTCACCTAAAATAGTACTACTCTACTCTGACGTCACCTACTCTAAACATTTCTAAACGAATTTCAAAATTTTAAMCACATATTTACATCATAGCAACTATAAATCATTTCGAAGAACAATCTTATGATTCACTGTTGTATGTATGTACTTTATGTATGTATGTTGAAAAACAAACATTTTAGCGGTCACCCTGTGTTTTCAAGTCATCATCTCATGGTTTCCGTTTCCATGCCAATCAGCATAATAATTTATTCATTTGTTATGTGGTTGTCATGACAACTAAACGCTCCCGTGCTATTTGAACCAATCAGGAGCGGACTAGTGAACGTATTTGACGTCGCGTAGCGTTCTTTTATAAACAGTTGATTTGAAACCTTCTAAAATACAAGGTACGTTGGTCTCGTCTAGATCTTAGAAAATATTCCCGTTTTATAATGTAAGTATCTAAGATAAAGTAATCTAATCGAATTGATAAATTTACTAAAAAATRAAATAATTCTGAGTTGGTTCGATTTCACCTTTCTGTTCAAACAGTCAGTAGTTTGCATTTTTGTTCTCAATCTTTTTCTTTAGTTTAATATTTCATAGATAAGCTAAGACTTAATGTTCATTAGACTTAAACTAGATGTAAAAACTTATTTCCATCTAAAGTTTTTTATTAATGGTTTTTCTGTGACTTTAACCTTTGTTCAGCGTTGAAGTGAAGCTATATTTTTCGGTTCTCAGTATATTTTAGTTGTTTGCTTGCTTTTATTTCTGATTTTTTCCTTATTTCTTCCTGTCGATACAGGATGGCAGCAGCAGTAACACAAGCAAAACCCAAATCTGTATCAAGACCTAAACACTGGTCAGAAGAAGTTGAAGAAGGTAAAAGAAGCAAAACTGTAATTGTAAGCTTCTTGGTGAACTGGAAAACTTAACAGCTGTTGTCAAAGATTAAATTAGGCCATTTGAATTTTTGGCCCATAACATATAAGGCCCTAGAAGGATTGAATAAATAAAGCTCATATTGTTTTTCCCTTTTTAGCTTATAGATTTCAAATAGCTGGATACAGAGACGAAGTAGAATATGAAGTAGTAAAAGGAAGGTCTGCTGTAAGTATAAAGTTTAAGCTTAATGCTTGTGAGCTCATGGGGATATAAATATAAAGTGGAACATTTTCATTTATTTACTTTCTTTTGGCCAATATCTATTACAATTATGATGCTTTTAAAATGATAATCGAAAGAAAACCTTTTCTTATTTGCCTACTAAGTTTAGTAACTGCCATTCAGTGAAAATTGAAAGAAACAAATGATAAGAATTCCCTTTTATTCCTTTTCAAAATACATGAAAAACAAAAACATAAGCTATTATGTATTAATTACTCTTAAAAAACAACTTGGAATTGATTCCTTGGCCTGATTTATTGTAAATATTTACTAGTCTAAGAGTAAAGACAACCCTTCAGATAATGTATTATTCAGCTAGTAATCATGGCCTTGTCTCCTATRTATGCCATCTCTGTTAATTTAGAGTCCTTTTGAGTTGCATCACACACTTCTAGCTAGTTATGATAAAGGAGAGGACACTTTCTAGCAATGGCAGACTGAGCTGGCCAAGTATTTTCGATAACTATGTTGCCTTGGAAACCTTGTGTTAGTGACATTGCTCGTGTCGTATTATGCTCCACTGGGAAGTATGCGTATATATATATATATATTGACTCAGTGGCAGAGTTCACATGTTTATGAAAGTTGCAGTAAAACAACTTGCAAAACAAATGCTTATTTGAGAAATCATTCAATTCACCTTTTCGGTGCTAGCCATCACGGGGCTTTAAATTCTTTTATATTGTGTTATGGTCACCAAAAAAAATCAGACATTGTTCTCGAATTTCCGTACAAATGTACTGACTCTGAATGAACTATTTACTTGGTTAATGTTTAGTTAGTTCTCTAAATACAAGTAAATAATCATTTTTCTAGCTTGATTGAAGCTTTTCTTACTGCTGTTAAGATAGCTAACTAAAGCAATCTACCTAAATTTTCTCTTTAAAGTCAGTGAATTTGTATGGGAATCCGAGAACAATGTCCGAACTTTTTGGTGATCGTAACACAATCCAAGCTAGAGCCGAAAAGGTTAATTAACTAGCCTCTAATCTACTGGAAACTCTCACCTTTGYCACAGAAAGGGCTCCTGTAGAGATATCCTAGTGAGAGGTGGTTTCTTGTAGATCATTTTCACAGGAAGCCTTTCTTCAGTTAATTTCCATTTTGGTGATCTAGATTCCTTTGAAGAGGCCATAATCATAAACCCTTAGGACTTATGTTAAATTGATTCCAAAAATCATGTACAAATCTTTTTATCTGCTTTATAAAGTTTTCAATCTCTCTGCAGGATCGCTGGCCTCACAACAATTATGTTAAAAAGCTCCAAAGAAAAGATGGTTATTTTATATACTTTGATAAAACAAGAGAATGTGCTGACAAAGATGTCAACAAGTGCAAAATGTATGGATATTAGCTGACAACCTTTAAACAATTGGAAGAGTTTAACCATAAAATGAGTAAAGGGACACACTTTATTCATATCATCAGTCACACCATTAACATTTTACGTGCTTAATATTAAACTTTAGTCTTACTCTTTCATTGCATAAATAAATATTTAAAAAAGGGTGAATTATAAGTACCAAGCAATAGTAGTTTTCTAGTATTTAAGATCATAAGTTAAGAGATCTAGAATATGAAGAACATTACAAATTAATTTTTATATAAAACTATATTAAAAAATTCCATTCCACCCTCCTTTTTGTTGTCATTTTTAAATAACATTAATAATTATTTCTTCCATGAAATTACCTCAATTTTTTACAGCTTCATATTTATGAGTAGATTAAATAAACTAAATCTCTTAAATATTGATGTAAATTTGTAGATATTTTAATCAGAAATTCAACTATTAAATCGTTTTTAATAAATGGGTTTTACATGTTTTTCATTCATGTCTCTCAGATATTTCCTATGATTACCTGTTCAATCTAATTGAAGTGGTTAAAATATTTCATAAAATAACTGTTATGAATGTCGCACTCTGATTGGTTTGGAGCGCGTGCTTTATGAGAGCACATTGCACGCGTGTGCACTTTCCGGTGCTTCATTCCTATCTATTATTGTAATTTGTATTTTATAAAAGAAATAAAAAACTATCTTGCTGTGCTGTGTGCAGTCATAAAGCATGCAGGGGTTGGCAGAACACTTGAGAAGTGTCCAGAAGCACTCCGCTACCTGTCGTGCTTCTCCTAACACTTCTCTCGTGTTCTGCCAACCCCTGCATGCTTTATGACAGCGCATAGCATGCGCGCACATTTTCTATTTCTTCATTTACTCCCACAAAGGAATAATGTCAAACCATTTAGTACATCTGCAGTAAATATTTTTACACAGTGTTTAAAATTCCTTCCCCTGAAAATTTTGAAATATTGATTTTAGCAAAGTTCAAGTAAGATTTTAGTATGCTTCAGTAATTTTTGTTGAATGCAGCAGTTATCATTCTTTGGTCCCTTTCAAGGATTGGAAAGATCAGGGAATCTTCTCCAAAGCTTGTTGAATGTCCTTTTTAAGATCATCAACATGTTCAAGCCCAATACTAGAAGGCAAAGGAAAAACTGTTCAAAATTTTATCTTATAAGATTTAGGTGAGGGTCTGATGGGACAACACTTCCCTTTTAGTTTGGGATCCATTTTCTTGGAACGCACCTTTTCTTGCTCAAACCTTCCCCAGAATGCATGAAATAGCATTTACCGAAACTGTTTATTGAGACCTCCTTGTGTTTCACATAGTCGGCTTGGTAAGAATTGTCTGACGTCAAATAATGTTTTCAGCACCCTCTTTCTCATACTTGCTGCCGTACCCTGCGAGCAGAGGTTTTTCTCCCCAACCAAAAAATGTGCCAATTAGGTGGGAGGGGGTACATAAGACCAAAAATGAAAAAGCAAACACAGCAGTGAAAAACCAAATTTCAACAAACAGTTTACAACTACTGAGCTTGTATAATGTTTGGAACTACTAAACATTAAGGTTGCAGATATTAGCATCATAGCTCACCTTATTCTGACAAGAGAGTCTTTAATTCCTCCCTCTTCTTTCATTTCTGGCGTCATATATTTGTCAGTATGCGTCATAACAGACACCACTTCAGCAAGACTGTCTGTCCCTCCAAGTGATACAGCAAGTTTAATTACCTTCAGACTCTATTTATTTATAAACAGAGAATCAATACAAATATTGCAATAAATTGGAATCACTTCATTATTGCAGATGTCTAGGAATCTGTTAAATGTCATTACCTCAACAAATGTGGTAGCTTCAGCTAATCCACCTTTGACTTCAAAACACAACATGCCACCAAAATGTTTCATCTGCTTCTTCGCCAAACTGTGATGAGGATGAGTCGACAAACCAGGATAATGCACAGTGGTTACCTGGAAATAAGTATATGGGGCCATTAAAATGAATAATTAGTTTCACAGGTGCTTTAAGTACTGTTTAATAAACGAGCAGGAGTGTTTTATCGCGTATAAAACACGAGGCGTAGCCGAGTGGTTTTAGACCCGATAAAACACGATCTGCGAGTTTATTGAACGGCTTAGAAAACTCATGATGTATGTTCTCATATTGTACTGAATTCTTTACGAAATGAACCAAGTTTGATAGAGAAAATCCAAGTTAAAGTTTATGCAAATGAAGACGAATCTATATGAGATATAAAATCACCTCCATGGTCATGATTTCCATTGTGTTTTCCTCATGAATTACTAATGAGTTTTCTAAAGGTTTTTAAAAAAATCCTTGTTGCTTCTGAACTCGAATTTTCAAAAACTTGAGTGACGTTATCCAGAAAAAAATTTATTATTTTATCTATAAAGGGCAAAATTGTTGACCAAAAACATGATGTGCAAATTAAGACAGATTGAGTGCCCAATTGCAAGCTAGAACCTTAGTTGCCTACATTATGATAAAAAAGCTAAATAAGCATTAGTTTATTATTGAAGCTTGCAAACAACCTTTGGATGGTTTTGAAGGAATGATGCTATATCCATGGCATTAGCAGAGTGTCTCTCCATACGAACATGCAGGGTTTTGATACCACGCAGTAACAGAAAACCATCGAAAGGAGACTGAAATTGAAAAAAAAAATTATATGGTACCAGTCTAGAGGCTTTGCACCCTTGCATGATGACAGCCATGACACAGGAAGCACAACGATGGATTTATTCAAGTGTATTCTTTTCCCCTTGGAAACTGAATTCTTTCTCATGTAAAGCAGATTAAACAAGATTCACTTATTACTGCCTCCTGTCATCATGTGATGGTGCAAAGCTTCTATTTTAACTTGCAGAATGATATACTAGAGTACTGCTGGTTAAGTTTGTTTATCAAAGATTTTTTTAATCAGACAACAAAGATATCTCTCTAAGCTGCAGCATGTTCAAAATTCTGCAGCCTATGCCATCTAATAACGGGGACTCGCTGTAATGAACACGCTACTCCTTCACTTAAGGCTGTTCATTGGTACCTATTAAATCCCAGTCAATTTTTAAGATTCTACTTCTGACCTATAAAATACTTCATAATCTGTACCCTCATACATGTCTTCTATTCTCCAAGCCCGATGCTCTACCCATCCTATAACCGCTCTTTCCTAGAGCCTCAGACTTCACTCCACACTTAAAAATTGTTCAATGCTTCTCTAGCTCTCACTCATTCTCTCATTCACTCATTCACTCGTTCACTCATTCACTCGTTCACTCATTATGATTATGATTATGATTATGATTATGATTATGATTATGATTATGATTATGATTATATAAAGGCACTTACCAGGCACCCACCCAAAATCTTTTGTGTATCATGAATCTTATGTGCAAGTTCAGGAGTAGCAGCTGTAATAGCACCTGCTATGATGTCACTGTGACCACCAATGTACTTTGAGCTGAAAATTAAACACTGAAATTAAAAGTTCTACTAGAAAGAAAGAGGTGCTTTGCATACTGCTACATCACTGGATCTGCAGTTTGATCTTTATGTAAAAGATGATAATCTAGACTGTTACCTGTAGTCCCTTTCACAATCCTCCATCCAGTATCAGTCAATAGCAGAATATAATCATATCTTATCATTGATTTCCCATCCTCCTCACAATCATCCAAAAAGTGCCCTGCAGTACTCAATAACGAGTTTGAATATCAAAGTTCTTATATATGCGCATCTTGACCAGAAATCTCAATTTTTTACTGTATGTACAAGACTCAGAATGAAAGACAACAAGTAAGTCCTTGATGGTTGACATATTTTAAATACTTGTGAACTTAAAAATTATTACCAGCTATGAATGACTACATCCACTCCATGTCGGACTGGATTCTGAATGAATGGAGATGCAAAAGTGCTATCTACCATGGTTACAATATTTCTCCCAAAGCTTTTTCCCAGCCGGCCAAATTCCTCTAGGTCAAGAATAGTCATCATTGGGTTACAAGGTGTCTCACCATATAAAACCTGAAGAGGAAAATTAATTCAAGCAGACTAAACTATCAATGGTCTCAGAAAACAGGAGGGGGTGGAATACATACAAGAGAAGTGGAGGGGTTCTTAATCATTTTTTTACGGCGCATGCATTCGCAATCAAGCAAAACATAGTCATTATCACATAGCGTTAAATATAATCTTCACTGCCCCCCCACCCAAAGATTTTTGCAGTGCCCCCCAAAGATTTTTAGCTTCTGCCACCCCTGCAAATATACATGAGTTACAGAAAATAGTTAAGAATATGTTTTATTGTCTGGTGTTCCTGTGTAGGTGCAAACGATGTTATTTAAATATTACATGTACACATACCTTAGTATTTTCTTTAACAGCATCTTTGTAGGCTTGAATAATATCCGCAGTCTTCCCTGCATCTATCAAGCTAACTTCTATGCCATACATTGGCAGCAAATTCTTTATCAGATGTAGAGTTCCACTGTATACAACTTTGGGTGCCACCTAGTACGAAGGAAAAATATTTTCTTTATTCATAATCTCAATTGGTGAAATGACTTTCAAAGGCCTTCCAAGGGAAAAGGACCACAACCTTGCTTAATGTCCTGGGGGTGTGGATAGGGATACCGGATTGTCAGTTTACTAATTTTTAGGTCAATATTATGGCCAGCGCTTGTAAAATTATTATCAGTTAACAGACAATTATTGTCTGTTAACTGATAATAATTTTACAAGCGCTGGCCATAATATTGACCAAAGCAATAAAATATCAGTTAACTGTTAACTAATAATTTTAGGTTATTTGTCAGTTAACTACTATTTTTTTTGGCCAATTGCCAGTTAACTATACTAACCCAATTGGCACCCTCTTATAAGGCTGGAAACTTATATAATTTTTGGCACCTCAGACTGAGGGCTTATTATAGAAGGGGGGTTTAACAGAAGCTTGGGCTTAATCACCGCCCTAACCAGGACTTTTACAGGGAGGGTGCACATCGAATAAAATCAGACCATTGTTTGTTTTTTATTACCAACTCAGTGGTGTAACTAGGGATCTTGCAGGGAGGTGCACAGGCAATAATTTGCAGAACCAAAAAAAAAAAAAAAGTAACCAAAAGAAAGCAGAACCAAAAAAAAGGAGATGGATGAGCGGACCTTAAGCTTTTATGGGGGGGGTGCACGTGCACCCTGTGCTCCCCCCTAATTACAGCCCTGTTAATAGAGGAAGTATCGTAATTTGCACAAGAGAGAGAGCTCTGAAGTTTCTATAAACATGGAACATTAACAACTCTGACCAGCCATAGATGCTTGATACAGCCATTTTGGCAGGGGAAATTATTAAGTGGTCTAATAAATTTAGATTTGTGACACCCCTGAAGTTGTACCAAATACATAAGTACCTAAAAGGTTCGACAAACATCCCCCCTATTTTCAATCGTACCCCCCTGGCACTGCCTTCAATCCACCTTGGGACAAAAATTAAAGTTTGATCATTATATATTGTGTAGTTCCAGGAATTATCCATTACCCCCACTGAGCAGACGTACTCCCCCCTATTCCCGGGAATTTCAATTTTCTTCCATATAAATTCTGTAATTATTGTTTTTTTTCCCTCTGAACCCCCACCCCCCCAAATTCCAAATTCCTCTATGGGGGGTGGGGGTATGGATAATTTCTAGAACTACACATTATCCTTGACATCAAATGATTATGAAAAAATTACGCTACCACATGATCACCAGCATGAAGAGTAGCTAGCAAAGCCGTAGAAATAGCAGCCATTCCTGAAGAGAACATCATTGTCCCTGCTCCACCCTCAAGTTTATTCAATGCTTGTGCTGCTGCTTCTACTGTAGGATTATTCCATCGCGTGTAGAAATATCCTTCATCCTTAAAATAAGAATAAGTTAGGCTTATAATTATATATCATGTACCTGCCTTGCATTATTTTTCAAATATTTTGGGAAAGTTCCTGTTATGTTGCAGTTTTTCAACTTTTCCTTACTTTAAAAGAAAACAAAAAACAAAACAAACAATTTTCCAAATGCAGACACTCCAGCATCCAGCCTTTATCTCTTTGATACCAATTTTTTCCAAGAAGTAAATGAAAAAAACTTGATTTAAAATTTTTAATATATTTCCATGTAAATTGTATACTTTGGAGAGGCATGTCAATAATGATCATTACGTAATAACATGACAGGAATAACTCGACCCTGTGAGCAGAGTCTCCTTTTAACTCCTTCTCTTGCCCATAGAGGAGTTAAAAAGGAGACTCTGCTCGCAGGGTCGAGTTATTCCCAACCAAGGAAAGTATAGACAAACATATTAGTGGTTATATATGGTCACGCAAATTCACAAAAGAAAGTAGGCAACCAATCTGTTCACATGGTATAACATAAAACTTCACCTTCTCACCAACTGGGCATAGCAAGATCTCAATTATAGGAGGAGGGGGGGACAATGTACCATTTGTATGCCAAATGCCTAGAGCAAACTTTTTTTGGGAAGGCACGTGCCCCCCCCCCCCCCCCCCCCCCCTCCATATGATAGTGCTTCTCACTAAATAACATTGAAGTGTTCTATTTATTTCTGGTGTCGGTTTTAACAGAGCTGCTCGTTTTAAGAGGAATACGGTCACGTAACCTGTTAGTTCAAAGTGGCCTAAAACCAGTTAGAACCCTGTAGATTGCCCTCAGCCTTTTTACCTGGAACGACACACCCAAAGTTTTTTCTGCACGATAAATTCCAAATTGATCTAAGAGAAGCCATGCCCTGCAGACTATATATGATCAGCCCAGAGGTTGTTTCAGGGTTCCATCTGAGAGTTAGCCATGCCCTGACTATGATCAGCACATGGTTCGATAAAAGTTTCATTAACATCATGGATCTATCTAAAGCATACCTTGCTTTCAGCCAGACCACATGCATGCTCAACCGTTCCAGTCTTGAATGTTGATGATGCGTAGATGGGCACACAAATAGGCTGTGGCTGCTCTGAATGCTGCCACTGATGTGCTGCGGCCGTTGTTTCAAAGTGCCGATCATTCATTCTTAACCTGAAAAACGTTTAGCTCTATTTGATGTTTGGTTTATCGCAGTGGCTATTCGTATGGTAGCCGTGCGCCGACTTGTATTTGCTATTTGGCAGTCAAAACTAGCATAAATTAAGCTATAATAAATATTTATGATGTGCAATTGCTGATGACACTCTAAAAGTTTGATTTCTTAAATTAAGAAGAAAACTCTTATTTTAAGGTCCCCAGATAAGAAGTAAGAAGCTCTTATTTCAAATTCTGGAATTTATCAAAATGAGGAATGTAAAACTCTCAATACAAGAGACTTAAATATCTAAGTTTGATATATCGATTCTCTTATATTAAGAAATCAATCATCTTAATATTAGAAGATTAGGTATCTCAATTGTAGATTTTTACAACAACTCACGTAAATAACACATTCTGATTGGCTGAGAGCTATGATCACTAAGAGGACAGACACATGGATGACGTAATGTTTTTGAAAACAAGACTCGCCGGTAGGATTTTATCGTAAGGACTGTGATTTTGCGAATTTATTTTGCTAATAAAAGTCGACAATGGAACCAGAAGAGGAACCAAACTTTGAAATTAATCTTGCTGATAGTCTTGCCGACGAATATTTAGTTCTGGAGGCAGAAAAGATAGAGGAAGACGTGAAAAATTCATCTCGCTTTGCAACTTGCGAAGAAAAAGACTTGAATGAGCTTGTACAGTCTGAGATGGCCATTAACTCCATTCCAGCGTCGATCTTCAATGGCTGCTCCATCCAGAACGTGAATGTCTATGTTGTCAAGCGAAATTGACATTGCTTTTCTTAGCTGAACTTATTAGTAAGCTTCGTTTTTTAGAACCTTTGAGTTCTGACTCAAACTCTTTTCGACTTAGCTAAAAAAGTCATTTATAAGTAAATGTCAAAAGTTTTGACCAATAGCAAGCATTCTTTCACAGTGGCTGTCAAAGAACTGTCAAAATTAGCCAATCACAG